CCTCAGTCATGTGGTTTGCTCCACAAGCCAGGAGGGATCCCACGTGAAGACGTGGCCGCGCTGGTCATGCAGGGCGAGAATCGCTGCCCCGCGGGCAGCCGGCCGGTGACCGCCACGGGGCGTGTCCTCTCCAGTTCGCACTGATTTCTGTACAGCACCTCGTTTTCCTCCTTCGTGGCGCGGGGACGGCTGGCTGCCGTATCTGCGTCTGGACTGCCTCCTTTCTGGAGGACACCCAGGCTGACTTGGGAACTGCTTGTCCCAAGGCAGGCGTCCAGGAAACAGACGCTGCCTGCCTAGTCCGAGTCACGTGACCAGGTGACTGCGGTCCCGGCCCTGAGTCAGTGCCAGTGAGCAGGAGGCATCTGCTGTGCCACCTCGTTTGTGGCTCTTGGATGGATGCCACCAAGAAAGGAGGTTCATGGGAGAGCTGTGTAGTCAGCCCAAAGTTGTCCACTCCAAGTTTATTCACAGGTGAGGTGTTGACTGTTGGTTTAAGATGGTGAGCTAGCCAGGCTCCGAGAGGGCCCACCATCCTTCATTCTTGGTATTCACACCCTCGTGCACCCTCTCCCGCAGGAAGCAGTAAGATAGAACTGTATTCCTGCAGTGAAATACAGTACAACAGAGCCGAGTCCCTGTCGCTGGTGTCCCGGGCCCAGGCAGACAGAGGTCAGAGAGAAGCATAGTTCTATTTTAACTTGATAACATCTTACGCTTAAATGCACTTTAAAGCGGAATATTTTTCACTCTTTCCCACCCATTTTATGTTTTTGATGTCACAATTTAAAGCCTTTTGTCTTGGCTAATTTTTGTAATTAGTTATTTTTATTCCTTTTGTCTTTTAACTTCCCTACTAGCTTTATAAGTGATTAACCCACCACCTTTACTATATACTTACCTTTATTAGTGAGATTGACTTTCAGGTTTTTTTTGTTACTAATCAGCACCCTTTCTTTTCACCTTATGTCCCTTTAACATTTCTTGTAAGGCTGATTTTGGGATAAGTCTGTTAGCTTTTGCTTGTCTGGAAGCCTCTTTGTCTCTCCTTTAATTCTGAATGACAACTTGGCCAGGTAGAGGACTGCTGGTTGGAGTTTTTACATTTCTTTCAGCACTTTTTATATATCATGCCACCCCCTTCTGGCCTACAAAGTTTCTGCTGAAAAATAGGTTAATAGTCTTATGGGGGTTCCCTGGTAAATAACAAGTTGTTTTTCTGTTGTTGCTTTTAAGATAATCTGTCTTTAAATTTTTTTTTTTATTGAAGTATTGTCGGTTACAGTGTGTCAATTCCTGGTGTCCAGCACAATGTCCCAGTCATGCACATACAGACATATATTCATTTTCATATTCTTTTTCATTAATGGTTATTGCAAGATATTGAACATAGTTCCCTGTACTACACAGAAGAAATTTTTTTTAAAAATTTATTTTTATATATGGTGGTTAATTCTTGCAAATCTCAAACTCCCAAACTTATCCCTTCCACCCCCTTCCCTTGGTAACCATAAGATTGTTTACTGTCTGCAAGTCTGTATCTATTTTGTAGATGAGTTCATAGTGTCCTTTCTTTTTTCTTTTAGGTTCCACATATGAGTGATATCATATGGTATTTTTCTTTCTCTGTCTGACTTACTTCATTTAGAGTGAAGATCCCTAGGTCCATCCGTGTTGCTGCAAATGACATTATTTTTTATGGCAGAGTAGTATTCCACTGTATAAATACACCACATCTTCTTTATCCAGTCATCTGTCATGGACATTTGGGTTGTTTCCATGTCTTGGCTATTGTAAATAGTGCTGCTGTGAACATTGGGGTGCAGGTGTCTTTTCAAATTAGAGTTCCCTCTGGATATATGCCCAGGAGTGGGATTGCTGGGTCACGTGGTAGCTCCATTTTTGGCATTTTATTTATAACGTTTCTTGATGTGGGCTCTTTGAGTTCATTGTATTTGGGACTCTCTGTGCTTCCTGGACCGGGATGTCTGTTTCCTTCTCCAGATGAGGGACATTTTCGCCATTATTGCTTCAAATAAACTTTGTCTCTCTCCTCTTTCTTCTTTTTCTCCCTACGGTGCACGTGTTGGTCCATTGTGTGTCGTCCCCTACGCCGTCCTCACTCTTTTCCGTTCTCTTTTCTCTTTGTTGTTAGTTGGATGAGTTCTCCGCCCGGTCGAGGTCGCCAGTCCTTCCTTCTGCTTCATCCGTCGTGTCTCTCGGTTCAGCTGCGTCTTCAGCCCTGTGACTTCCCCTTGGTACTTTCTGACACTTTCTCTTTGCGGAAACTTTGCTCATTCATGGCTCACTTTGCTCATTCATGGCTCCCCAAGATGGGAGCCTTTTGAGGGCCATTAGTTTGAACAGTTAACCAGGTTAATAATCACTTACCTCTGTTTCATGAGGATCTTTTTTTCCCGAGATTTTATTTTTTTGTTTGGAACGTATTCCTGTTTCTCCACTTTCCTTGACACTATGTTGGTTTCTGTGTCTTAGATAAAATACTCACCTCTCCCCGTCTGGAAGGAGCAGCCTCTCACAGGAGATGACAGACACGGTTCAGCCCTGCCGTAGCTCTGCGCTGTGTCAAACCTCCGTGGCTGGCCGGCAGCCTTCCTCACTCTTGGTGGCTCTGAGGAGTGGAGTGTGTGCCGAGACCCTCGGCGTCCCAAAGGCGAGCATCTCAGTCAGCAGCGAGATCCAGGCTGCTGGGAAGGCAGGGTCTCAGGCCACAGCCATCCACGTGCACAGATAACACAGATAACCCTCGTCGGGGGCAGACTAGTCCAGGGCACTGCCGTCTGCTGCCTCTGCCCTGCGCCCTGGGTTTACAGCCAGTTAAGAGCTGTTTGTGGCTGTCCTGTTGAGTCTGTGAATACAGGCCTGTCGACCACCAAGGTGAGGTCATCAAGGGACGTGTCCCCTGGTGGTGCCAGACATGTGTGCTGGGAAACAAGCCACTGGGAAAAGAGCAGCTTGGAAAAGGAGCTGCACTGAAATTTCCAAGAGCTTAAAATGTTATATTCACACTTGCTTGCTTAAAACGCACATGCTTGCTTTGTTTTAATGTTTTGTGCAGCAGATGACCTGTAACACGGATTATGCTAAAGAAAATGTGTGGCGGGCAATCCTGAGATTGACCATAAGGTCATGAATAAAGGCGGATATTTCCTTAGGGTCAATGGATGGTCCTGGAAAGCCAGATCATCCATTAGCAGAACTTGGTTCTGGCATGAAAGCATGCGGGTAAGCCCAGGGGGAGTATCTGCTATCTCGAGATGTCCTGCAGGCAATGATAGGGTAGACTAAGAAATTTTGCATGCCCCAAGGGGGGTGATTGTTCCTGGAAGGGATGGGCCTGAAATTAATCAGTTAAACAGCAAGCAGAACTTAGTGCTTACCTCATGGAATGTCTAAAGCACCCCCCCTTTGATAGCGTTTTTTTCTGCTCTGTGTACTCCTGATACACATGATGTCGACCAGGGTTTTGGGGCTCGGGAGCCACGAGATCTTGAGGCCCCTGGTCCCATCTTTGCTCTTTACTTTGTCTCTTTGTTTCTTAAGTCTTGCGTCGCCTGTCCTCAGACACGGTCCCGAGCTGCGCTGGATGCAGCACATGTGCCCAGCTCCTGAGACACTGGTGACCTGGGACAGGGCAGAGGGAGCCACCAGCTACTGCCCGCCGGCCTCCCTCCGGAGACCATGGTTGGGGCCCTAGACGCGTGTTACAGAGAAGCCTGGCCCGAGGCCACAGCTGCGAAGACAGCTGTCCCCCTCACACAGCCTGGGCTGCGTCAGCCTGCGGCCTGTGTGCGGTCGGGGTAGCCGGTGAAGAACTGTTTCTCCGTTACAGTGTTATGCTCTGCTGGCCACCAGTGCCAGGCCACTAAGGTGTGTCCCCTGGGCTGCAGCTGCAAACACCTGGGCCCCAGACCAGTGCACAGGCCACTCTCCGGGTGACACTGGTGACCTGGAGTGAGGCAGCGTGAAGGCTTCTGGAGGGGATGACAGGCGGCCCTGAGATGCACATTAGGCTAGATGTCGGTTCTCCAGGCAGGACGTAAGGCTTCACCACAAGCAAATGAGCCTTTCAGTTGCTGCCTCTGTGCTGGGCTGTGGGGCAGGCGGGTCCACCGGGGCCCCGTAAGGACCATTTCTCAGTGCACAGCCCTGTCGGTCTTGTGGCTGGAAACCCCACTGGCTTTCAAAGCTGCATGTGCTGGGGACTGGCCTCTGGGGCAAGTCTTTAAAGCCGGGGTCCTGATGTGGGGTTCAAACCCCTCACTCCTCAGGGCGAAGCCCAGGATGTGAGTCCCCTCCCCGTGGCGGGGGCACTGTGCCGGGGTGGGGTTTACGGCGAGGCGGGGCCCCAGGCTCTCCCACCCGTGTTGTTTTTCCTCATTGACCTGGCATGGAGGAGCCCCTCAGCTGGCTGCCGGCTCACTGTGAGATCAGGCTGTGTGTAGTGGTGGATTTGGTGTGTCTGTGTTCAGGGCCTTGCGCTGACATCGTGGGCCGGACCCTATACACCTCACTTGTAAGAGGGGATGTGGTGTTTGGTCACAGAACACCCTCCCGTGGCCGGATCCCAGGAACCACGGTTACAGGTCCAGCAAGCTGGTGAGGCAGGTGGCGTTCTGAGACTGCTCCCAGCACGCCCGCCTCCTGGTGTACACACCCTCTGGCACCCAGTGGAGGGGACTTTGCAGATCCCAAGTCAGGTGAGGCCTTAAAAGGGACGAGGGTCCTTGTGACAAGAGTCCAAGTGTGGGAAGGCTCTATCCTGAGGGAGAACCGTTCTCACTGCTGGTGTCGACGGTGCAGGGGATGTGGTGGCCAGCATGGCAGGTGGCCTGTGGGGATGGAGGGCCCGTCGCTGCGGACCACGTGAGCCCTGGGCCCCCAGCCGTGAGGAGCGGCTTCCGCCCAACCACAGGGGCTCGGGGGTTGGTTGGTACCGATTTATTACAGCAGCCATAAAAAACAAAAACGACTGAGTATTTTGCTCCACGGAACTGCAAGTGTTATTTGTTAAATATTTATTGATGTTAAGTCCACATTACACCAGCACAACAACCCAAAGAAGTAAGATAGTACTTATTTTTTTTTATAAATACAACATGAAAGGTGGCAAAAATGCTACTTAACCCCAAACCCAGCAAATTAGCAAAAAGTCACATTCAGAAAAATTTGGCAAGTAAGATACGATGTAAGTCATGATTCTACCGTGGAGAAAGGTCCACGAGAGACTGCCCGGTATTGTAAACCCACATGAGCAGTGTACGTCCACGTGGTCAGACGCCTGGACTGCTCTGCACGGAGCGTGTATGGCCCCGGTGCCCAAGCCGGTCACTGAAAACTCGGCTGGCTGGTGTCCTTACGAGGAAGCAGGAAGCTGCACACGTGAAGCAGAAACATGAACTATATGGGTGGTACAGATACAAAATTATTTAAAAAATACTACGTACTGAACTGAGTAACTGAGTTCACCATTTTTCTTATAAATAATGAAAGATACATGTGTTCTGCAGGAGTACAGTGTGTTCTTTTCATAGCAAAGTACCGTTAACACCTCACATTTCATAGTATCAGGCCACATTGTTTTTTTCTCCCTTTCAAAGTTTATTGGTTCCGACTTAAAGCCATCAAGTCTGGTCAGATCCACGCCACTGAGCTGGTGCCGAACCACAGGCATTCAGAGATCAGTCTTTGCCAAGACGCCTTGACAAGCGACTCGAAACCCAGCACCTTCTTAGGCCAAAAAGGTCTCCTGGCAGCAGGGGCGTGAACTCAGTCTCCAGCCACGTATCTCAGAGCCTTCGAGAAAATGCATCCTGGCACCGACCTGTTTTGTCTCCCACAGTCTCCGATCCCCCCAGCAGACTAGAGCCCACGGGCTGTCTCTGTGACAATCTCGCAGCCTCGGTCCACACGCAACTTGCTCTGTGCACCTAAATCTTCAGCGCCGCCCCGAGCTCAGACACCGCGGTGTCCGGAGCACAAGCGTCCTCCCGCTGACCCTTAGGTCCCTGACTTGTGAATGGCAGTGATTCTCACCTCTGTCTTAGATGGATTTTGGAGAAAACCAAAGAAAAGCTTGGCCCTTCCAGCCTCCTGCCCCCTCCTGCCATCTGCGCGAACAGCCTGGCGGGCTGTCCCTCCCTCTCCTTGCCCAGGCCCCGCCCCCCGGCCCTCAGGGCGCCCTGGCCCTCCATGGAATGGACTGTGACGCAGCTCTGCTTTATTCAGGGAACTCCAGACTATCTGTACTTAAATCAGCCTTTCACAGGGTTTGTGAGTGAGCTTCCTACCCAGGCAACATGAAAAGAAAACACTACACGTTAAGAAGAAAAGGTTAGGAACCAAGGCGTCAACCTTGTGAGAAGACTCCCCAGGTAAGTAAAATCGGAGGCAGTCGTCCCTCCTGGACGCTCTGGGAGACGACCATCTACAGGACCAGGCACCGACCTGCGTCTCCGCCCGCTCCCTGCCCGGCAGAGCCCAGCACGTGACGGGGGTCTGGTGGCACCTACGCCGGAGTCCAAGGCACTGTGGGTGACACGGGTGGTGGCAGTTACCTCTTCTCGAGCACTTTCATCACCGCCATTCCCAGGGTTTTGAAGCTGGCTGGTGACGAGTACTCGGTACAGGGGCGGTCTGCTCACACCGGCGCCCCAGGAAGGGAAGCGCGGCTTTGGTGTCTCTAGTTCTTACAGTTCAGGGTGTGTCTGCCTCCGACAGGGCGGCAGAGGGGTGGGGCGGGACGGCCGGGCTACAGGTCCTCGCTCTCCACCAGGCCGGGGCTCAGCGCCAGGTGCGACGGGCTGGCTTCGGGCTGGAAGGCAGCCCTGATGTCCAGGCCCTGGTCCGAAAGGGCGGCGTAGCGACTGGCCGAGGGCCGCACCCGCTTGGGCTTGGTGCTCTGCGCCGGCTGCTGCCACTGGGCTGCAAGACACAAGGCGAGACGGTGACACTGAGACTTGCCTGAACCAGGCGAGGACCAGGCGGGAGGTCTGCTGGGATGGCGCGGGAAGAGTTCTGACCTAGGAAGCGCCTTGTGTCTCACCCGTGTGCACGGGCGGGGGGCTGCAGTAGTGCAGTTGCACAGACTAAGTGGGGTTCCTCTTTACTGAGTCAGAACTACCTGCAGCACAGGGAATCCTCCGAAATGGCTGCTAAGCTCCCTAACCCTCACTTCTCTCCTTAAAAAAAAACCAAACAAACTTAAAAGCGCTAAATGTGTAAATGCCACAGTAACTAGAGTGCTAAGGTATTCCGGACGGATGTTCTGACAGGAACTGGGGGAAAGGAACTGGGCAGTGGGGGAAGGCCGAGGCCAGGCAATTCTCAAAAAGTCGCACGGTTATTTCTCACGTTGGAAATCGGCTCTTGATTTTCCCTAGTGGCTTTCTTTAGTCACGAGACAACATGATGCTGTTGGGCTGGCGTGGAAACGCACGAGGAACAGTTTTCTCCAGATCCCGTACGCATGAGCACTAACAGACGGACGTGACACTCAGACCTACTGCTCAGCTGCTTAAGATGAATTAACGAACAGCACTAAGCTACAAAAAGTATGCATTCCAGGACCATACATTTAGAGTGAGTTCAGATGCCGTGGCACGATCATAACTGGGGAGGGAACGTTAAAGGCGGTCAGTCACGGGCACAGGAGCAGAGGGACAAGGATGGGGTTATGCCTTCGCCGCATGTTAACGTCTAAGGAGGCTCAGGTAAGGAAGCCGCAGCGGAGGGGCCAAGGTGAGAGACCAACATGCGCGTTTTGCTAAAAATGGAAAGTTCTACGTGATACTTGGGCTCTGTGCTCCTGGCGCGGCTCGCTATTAATGTTGAGAAACTACAAACAGAAAGAGAAAGAGCAACGTGAAACTCTGGCAAACGAAACACTACAGTTGTTTCTAAGATGATTTAAAAGGGATGTGATTGGCGGGGCCAACGCCTACTTTCTCATGAGTGAGTGGAGGCGGCGCTGGGAGAGGGGGCACTCACTGTACACGTCCAGCCGGGCTGTGCAGGACACAATCCCTGCCTCGTTCTTGGCTGACACCGTGTACCAGCCCGCGTCGTCCTTGGTGGCTCCCTGGATGAGCAGGCAGACGTAGCCGTGGGGGTCCTGGTGCATGCTGGAGGTGGGGGCGATGGCGAGAGAATGCCATGATTTTAAAGAGCAGTTTTGGACTCAGAGCATCATTTTTTTTTCTTTGGTGGGAGAGGCAATTAGGTCTATTTATATTTATTTGTTTTAATGGAGGGGCTGGAGATTGAACCCAGGACCTTGTGTACGCTAAGCATGTGCTGTACCAGTGAGCTATATATCCAACCCCCAACCCCAAACCATCGTTTTTAATTATTAAATCACTGGAAACAGAAATATGCAAGCCGGGATCCCAGAGTCCACCCTGTACTGGAGAGGCCGCCAGACTGTCATCGTTAACAGGGGACGCGAGAGGGGCACCAGGGGGCTGAACGCGTCTGGGGACTTAAATTCTAGCAGGGGACCCTCCCCAGAGCTCTGCAACCGCCCCCCCAACACTGCAGCTTCCCGTCTCAAAGAAGAGCCGACACCAGAGCCCCCGGGGGCGGGGGTGAGGCTCACCTCACGCGGTCTGTGCTGTGCGTCAGCGACTCGTTCTCCTTCTTCCAGAAGATCTGCGGGGGCGGCGCCCCGGACACGCGGCACTCCAGCCGCACCGGGTACCCGTCAGCCACCCCCGTGTTCTGCAGCTTCTCCAGGAACACAGGGGCCTTGTACGCCTCCTTGGCTACAAAAACACGAGACAGGTTATCCACCCAGGACCCAGGCGAGGGGCCCCATGGAGAGCTAGGGAACAGGGGTCAAGCCACTGCTGCTGCTCTGACACCATCTTCCACCTCTCACCAAGTCACTCCTCTCCCGAGACGGGTCCCTGTGTTCCACAGGGTCCGCTGGCCACCTGCTCACGGGCCCGTCTGACGTCTGGTCACGCCGGCCTCTGGGAAGGCTCAAGGCTAATTACAGTCCTCGTCCCAACCCAGCCCTGCCACCCAGGGACACGGATGATGAGGATTCAGGAGTCGGATCCTCTAGGCTCCCGCCCAGCTGCAGTGATTCAGATGGGTTCTGAGTCCTGGCTGAAGGGAGACACCCCAGGACTTGATAGGGGATGAGGCAGCCGGGACCGCATATTCCTCAAACTGCACTCTTAGATGACCTCATTACTCAGTCTGAAAAAAATCTGGGCTGTTCTGTTAGTAACACTGGGTATTGCTGTTGGTGGGAAAGTATTTCTTGGATCTGCGGTGGAGACGAGATTTCAGGGAAAGAAGAAGACTTAGTCATCACTTTCTGAGCTGCCAACAAAGAATCTGAGGGTGCGGCCTCCTCCGCCCTCTGCTGTGACAAATACAGCAACAGAGATTAAAAAAAAAAAAGTCCTACTTGAAACTTTTAAGTCCTGAGACTGAGACCTCGAATCTCAGATGTGGTTACCCGGCCTGGGCGATTCTGGGGCACTTGGGAACAGACCTCACTGAGTATTCTTTCTGGGGTCCAGTCTTCGAAAGAGCGTAAGACGTGTAAACTGGGCCCCACGTCCCGGCAGCCACCCAGGAGGAAAAGCAAGTCCCAATTGGGGCCCCTGCTGGGCAGGGCCAGGGGATGCAGAGGTCATGGGACTCAGTTCTTAGGAAATGACTGAGTCCTGCGACACCAGCTGTGATGGTCCCCGTCCGACACGTGGGGACGTGGACGAGCCAAGACGTAATGGCTCTGCCCAGGGCACTGCCAGGAGACCAGCGCTGCAGGGCACAGGGCGCAGACTCCCTACCAGCCTTTCCCTAAACGCAGCCTCCTTCCCGGGGGTGGGGCTTTATTCTGATAGGTAAGTCTTGTGAAGTGTTCTCATACAATCAAGAGCAGATCTGAGCTCAGTCTGTCTAGGACACGGGGGTGGATGAGAACGTTTCAGACTTGCGGATTCTGGTGTCCCTGCACGTCACCTGACAACCTCGGTACACGGGAAGGACTTCGTGTGCCAGGAAGTTCTCATCCACCAAGTGTGGTTCCTGAGCCGGGCTGCTGTGCCCTCCCTGTGAACACTGGGAGTCATGAGAAGGAGAGTCACCCAGAAAAACTGCTCAGGCTGAGCAGGGAAGGGGAGACACCGCCATGGCTACGCTGAAGACAAAGTCTGCGGTTCTACCTGCCAGGTCTCGCCTGCTGTCCTAACTATGGGGACGGCCCAGTAAGTGTTCTCCATGGTGAGGTACGTCCCACATGGGTTAGTTTGTGTTTCTGACCCGGACGGTCCCTCCAGGAGAGACGCGACCCGCAGACCTACCAGCGACCACGAGCTCCAGGCTGAAGGCGTTCTGTCCCGCCCGGTTGGTGGCCACGCATGTGTAGATGCCGGCGTCGCGGGCAGTGACAGGCTCTATGACCAGCGAGTGCACCCCGTTTTCCCGCACCAGCATCCTGTGGGCGCTGTCCGGGCGGACGGGCCTCCCGTCCAGCTGCCAGGTGAGGTCCGGGGTCGGCAGCCCGCTGACCTGAGCCGGGAAGCACACACGTGTGACTTGTGGCATGAGAACAGAGTGAGGTCGCCAGCAGCTAAGACACCAGCACAGACCCCTCCATCCAAGATGGGGCTTTTAACATCATGTCCTGTTTCTCTTTTGCTTAAAACCTTTCAGTGGCTTCTCAGCGCACACAGGCTCACTTCGGAGCGCTTCTTACACAGCAACCCAGAGAAAAGTGAAACGGAGACTGAGTACATTTCTGCCCTCGTCCTCCCTCACCCGGGGTTACAGAGACCACGGGCTGATGCCAGCACAGGGCTCCGAGGCCTCCGAAAAGATGTCCGCCCGTAAAGCAGAAACCCATCCTCCGCTGGCAGAGAAAGGATCAGTCCTGGCACCAAAGCCAAGACCTGCCACCACGGTGGGGACACTACTTAACAGTGTCCATCAACCCTCAGGACGGTCATTACTGTACAACCCCTGAAGCTAAGGAACAGGCGAAATGCGAAATCCCACAGAAAGCCGTCTCAGCAGCTCTGCATCATGTGGACAAGTCACGAGCCCCCCAGGCCAGGACAGCCGTGTGACCAGACAGCGGCCAAAGCAGCACGTTCAGCGGCTAGCTGCACGCTGTGCCGTGTAGGGAGAGGACGGCCGGTGCCTGCCTGCTCTTGACGGCTGGGCCCTGCACGGTGCAAGTGAAGAAGGCCTTTTCACCCCCACCCCAAATTCAGAAAGATGCCAGTGGGAACTGTAACCCAGTTCTTTAGAAGAACCAGCTGGAGAGCTCGAGATTCCAGCCCTGCTGTGTGACACTCACTGATTCTGCCCTCCAGCTGCCTCCCCCACACAGACAGCAGAGGGATGAAGAAGTCAGGGAGGAAAATTAGGTCAACTCACAGCACTGCTGGAAGGAGGGCCTGGAGCCCAGTTCTCCCGTCTGTCCACCTCCCCCCCCACCAACCAGCTCCTGCTCTGCCTGTCCAGGGGTCACCAGAGGCGTGCAGCTGGGGGTGGGTAGACAGCCCTGCTCAGGCTGCATCCCGTCCCACTCAGACCCCAGACGCATGGGGCCCTGTACCGGCTGAGGACACGGTGCGTGGAGGAGGGAGGCGCCCACGTGGTCTCAGCCTACCTGAACCACCAGCTCCAGGCCAGCGGACAGAGCTCTGCCCGGTCAGGTGAAGGGACAGGCCGATGCGTCTGTCCTTCCTAAGCCTGGGAAAGCAAGCCTGAGCTCAGGAATTTAAGATCGCCATGAGCAGGCAGTAACCTGTACAGGTGGGTGCTCCTGGCTGCCAAGGAAAGAGAAGGAGGGAGGAGCCCACTGCTGTAAGAGCGAGAGAGGACTCTCCCTCGGGACTGAGAACCAAGTCGAGGGCAGCCAGTCAGTGTCCGGGAAGGGGCACAGGGGTGACCGGGGTTGGGGAACCTAGCTGCTGCCTTCATGGCGTATTTTCACGATTTTTTCCCACTGAAAGCACAGAGACGCCGGGCTTTTTTTCCCTGAACCGGGTAACACGCCATCTGTCCAGGTGACAAGATTTCCACATTTTATTGGCAAAATCAGAGATTACTTTGTTTCTGATATACTTTTAAAGGCAGGCATATCAAGGACAGCTGTGTCACTCGCAGTAAAATAAAGGGCTATAATTTCTTCTAGTAAAAATGATGAGAAGCAGAGCCAGCAGTGCGGTGAACCTCTAAACAGCCGTCGCCTAGACACACTTTTACAGGTGGTCTGCACGAGTTCTTAAATTACAGACCCAAAATAAATACATGTGCATAAATACACAGACACTGACACTCAGTCTGTGTGCCTGCACTGCACAGGGCTCTGCTGGAAAGTAAAACACCTTTGTTAAGACTACACTGACTTTTTCACGTATTTGCACAAACCCAGAGCTGATCCTGCAACTGCCTTACACCTGTGTCCTGCAATCCCAGAGAGAACCAGCAGGGGGAGCCCAAGGAACCATCTAGAACCTCACCCGATTTAAGAGCTAAAATTTTAACTTAAGGTCAGTAAGTCTCCTATGCGATTCCAGGCCTGTGCACCTGCTGAGACCCACCTGGAAGCCCTGCTGTAAAGAAGGGGCCACTCTGACTTCTCGCAGAAGCAGGAGACGGGAGGACCGAGGGAGCAGGCAAGTGGATACAACACTTGTATGAGAACAGGGTGACTTTCAACTACTTAAGGATCAGGATATGCGACAGCTTCAGCGCAGTTATTACTTCAACAAAAAGGAAATCTTGCGGGGCCACAGCCTCCCAGGACTTTCTGGGGCACGGGGTGTACGGTTCCAGGGAAAACACAGGAAACAAAAATGTTACAGGAAAAGAATGACTCGAAACTATGTCTATACAAACATTGAGAGCGTTGCCCTCACTTTTCCTCTACTGCTAGGAGTTTCGCTTCACAGACTTTTCCCAAAAGGAGCTAAGGGCCAGCGGTGAGGAGGGGAAGGGACGGGGCGTCAGCCTCACCTTGCAGTCCATCCTGCACAGCCTCCCCTCCTGGACAGTCAGGTCCCCAGGGGCCTGCAGGAAGTGAGGCCTGAAGAAGCGCTCCTGAATCGGCTCGCTCTCGTCCGCGCTGTCCCTGGACCGGGACCGAGGCCTTAGGACAAGACAGACAGTCAGCAGACAGACAGATGGGGGCTGGGGGCAGAAGGATAGGAGGTGTGGGGGCAGGTAGGCAGGCAGCAGGTGTTCTTGGTCCTCCAGTTTCTACAATACATGGGGTAACCACGTTAACTCCCTTACCTGGTTCCTAGTCCCAAGGTTTACAACATAAAAAAAGCCAGTAAAGCAAAACCTTGCTTCATATGCAAGTTTATTATAATAAACTTCGTCATCTAGCTGCAGACATTAAACCCGCTGCCCTGAACCTCACAGCTGTATAGACACCACCAAAGAGGAAGCGGGGGAAACGGGGTGCTTGTATTAACCTGTTTTTTCCCTAAATACATATTTTTAAAGCTGTATGAGAAGTACCAGCTATTGCTCATTTATTACCAAAGTTTTTCAACAAAAATTACTGTAACTTTCCACTGTGACTGTGAATTTGTAGGAAATTAAAAGTTCTTTTTACTTTGCAAAAAAATATTGAATACAAGTTTCTCTTCATACTAACCAGGAAAACATATTTTTTTTAGGCAGGTTTTCTTCTGCATCAGTTATCCATATGCCTAAAGACACTATTTTTATTCTTAAAAATTGAAGTAGAGTTGATTTATAATGTTTCAGGTGCACAGCAAAGTGATCTAGTTTTACATATGTACACACACACCTGGGAGTGTGTATACATACATATATTCTTTTTCAGGTTCTTGTCCATTATAGGTTATTACAGGATATTGAATACAGTTTCCTGTGCTAGATCTAGACAAGGTCCTTGTTATATATTTATTTTACACACAGGAATTTGTACCTGCTAATCCCCAATTCCTACTTTATACCTCCCACCTCTCCTCCTTGGTTTGTTTTCCACATCTGCGAGTCTATTTCTATTGCATAAATAAGTTCATTTGTATCATTGTTTTAGATCCCACATATAAATGACACCGTATTTGTCTTTCTCTGACTTACGTTACTTGGTATGATCGGATCTAGGTCCATCCGTATTGCAGCAAATGACACTTTTATTTTATTTTTATAGCTGAGTAATATTCTATTATATATACACACCACATCTTTATCCAGTCATCTGCTGATGGACATTTTAGGTTCTTCCCTGTCTTGGCTACTGTATATAGTGCTGCTATGAACATTGGGGAGCATGTATCTTTGAATTAAGGTTCCCTCTGGATCTATGCCCAGGAGTGGGGTCACTGGATCGTATGATAAGTCTATTTTCAGTTTTTTAAGGAACCTCCATACCCTCTCTGGCATTTATCATTTGTGGACTTTTGAATGACAGCCATTCTGACTGGTGTGAGGCGAAACCTCATTGTAGTTTTGATGTGCGTTTCTCTAATAAGTAGTGATGATGAGCATTTTTTCACGTGCCCATTGGCCATCTGTGTGTCTCCACTGGAGAAATGTCTGTTTAGGTCTCCTGCCCATTTTTGGATTGGGTTTTGTTTTTTTGACATTGAGCTGAATGAGCTACTTGTATGTTTTGGAAATTAATCCCCTGAAGACACTATTTTTTTTTCTTTAAAATTGTGCATCTCCCAGATTCCACGTGTCTCTCTTGCTTTTGTGCATGTTGCCAGAGGCCCCTTTAAGAGCAATTTAATTTAAAGTGATTGCAGGGAAGACTCAGGAGCAGGGTGAACACAAACTCAGTCGATGATCACGGAGGATGGGTGAGAAACACTTAACCAGGAAAAGGAAAAGCAAAGCAAGTGACTGATGAGGGCGCCAGCACAGTAACTCCCCTTCCTCTCACAGTTCACTGTGTCTGCAGCACAGATGGAGTCTGCGCATGGGCTCTTCTAGGACATGGGGACCCACGAGACGCGTGAATGTACTGAAGACCCCGAGAAAAGCAGAAGGCAATGCCGCAGGAGGACGAGCAGGCCCGCACGAGCATGCGCGCTGACCTCCACGGGCACGGGTGGGCGCAGGCCGGACGCCGTGGGCCCACCCCCAGTGCCGGTTCTAACTCTGCGAGGGCTCCGTGCTCAGAGCTGCTCCCTGGATGCTGACCTCGGGCCGAGGACACAGGCCCGCGAGGGTGGGACATTCTCTGCGGTGCCCTGTGTCCGCCCCGTACCCAGCAGCTCCTTCTGGAGCCCAGTGAGCTCCCGAGAAGTGACACCGCTACCCCCATCCTCACATCGACTCGGGGCGGCCAGACATGGGGGGCACCCACACACGACAGGCCTGACCCACGAGGTCATGGTCTGAAATAAACTGCTGGGGCCAAGTGACTGGACAAGGGACCTTCGCAAACTAGCTCATCTGGAGAAAGTGAGGGGTCAACCCACAGGCTGCGGGGGTGGGTGTGTGGTCTGGGCGGACAACCTGAGGGTCCAAGGGCACAGCCCCCTGGCCGGTGTGTCCCCCAGCGCGGGCCGCAGCCAGCACACCTCTCCCAGCCTGTTCCCAGCTGTCCCTGGGCATGCTCCCTCCTGCCGTCGCCCAGGTCCTGACTGTGGATTCGCCGTCATAATAAAACCACAGTAACAGACGCGAGAAGTACCTTCTGCCGTGCGGGTGGCCCGAGGACGGGCGGGGGCTGCGGCCTCTCTGGTTCACCGCCTGCACCATCAGCCGCCCGGTGCAGCTGACGCGGCCCTGTGGGGACAGAGGGACAGACGTTGACGACCGGCCCCTGAGCACCTCCCCGTGTCCGTCCTGTGCTCCTGAGACTTGGTTCCTGGACCAGACCAACGTCCGTCCGAGGAAGGACACCAGCCTGTCTCAGAATCCTCCCTCCCAGCCCAGCTCCTCCGCAGAGCCCTGGGTGAAGAGCTGGGGAGACGAGGCCGCCCCGAGCTCTCAGCAAGCCTGGGGGGGAGGTTAAGGTGACAGCCCTTGACGAATGCGCTGTGACCTGCTGCGGCCCGCCGGCCGGGGGCGTGGGTCGTGGGTGTCCTGTGGTGACTCCACTTTCATGTCAAACAGCTGCTGCTTGAAGCCACATGACCTTAGTTTTCCTTTCAGTTTTGTCTTTTTAAAAAATGTTAGTGGTGCCCCTTCCAAAAGCCATACATTAACAGAGCTG